GGGCGCAGCGGTATTCTGGGGCGTGGCCCGTGATACCTCAGCTGAGGGGACAGGCCCTGCCTTGGGGAATCACCTGACTGCTAGGCACATCTTGAGATGAATTCCTGCTAAGGGCCTCACAGTGCCCTGTGAAAGGTTTATTTATTCTATTTCACAGATTAGGAAAATGGAGCTCAACTAAGTGGCCTGTTCAAAGTCACTCTGTGACTTAAGAGGCAGATAAGACATTCTGACCAGGTCCGACCGGCTCTAGTCCTCAGCTTGGCCTCAAGGCAGGTGGGGAGTGTTGCTCTAAGGTCTCTAGGGCTCAGGATCCTGCCCTCATGCCCACCCCATGCCCAGCCTCGGGGCCGTACAACTTGCCAAGAGGAAACCACTCCTCTCAGCACATTTCAGTCCAGCCTCTCAGGCTCTGCAAGCCTGGAAGGGCCCAGAGATCACGTGGTTCAGTAGAGTTTGGTTGTGTTTAGTGGTTTTCAAAGCTTTCATTATTTTTGGAAGTAGATCCCTTAAAGTCTGTCTTTTAAAGATCTTTATAAACGTTATGCACATTTTGTACAGACAACCTACCATACAAAAGTTCAAATATTAAAATACTGTGGCTCCTATACTTAATATAGTTCATATACTAGTATGTGAGTATATACATAGAACTGCATTTGACCACCTGAAATACTACATTTGGAGACATTACTTTAGCATTTATTTCAATTATACAATTTAATTTTCATATTTTGGAGTTGATTCTTTTTTCAGCTTCCAAAAATGCTCATGCCCTTTTAAGCTGGGAGGCCCTGGGCACGGTGCCTGTGGTGCTTAATTGATAAAGTAGCTTGTACGCACAGAACATCATACTAAAAGGCTAATATGCAAATAGTTATCACGCTGTGATGCGTAACGACCAATCAGCAGGGACCTGAGGCTGCATGGCGCCTGGCCAGGGTGGGGGACCTCAGGCCGTGCCCCCTGCCTGGTGGGGCTTGATGGGGGACCTGAGGCTATGTCCCCCCCACCTGGAGGGGCTTAATGGGGGTGGGGCTGGCTGGGTCTGGGTCTCCTGCAATTTCGAAGCATGTGCAGGTGGGTGGGGACTTGACTCTGGGTCCCACGGCGCACCCCGGACTCTGACAGGAGGGAGATTTTTTAAAATATATATTGTATTGATTTTTTACAGAGAGGAAGGGAGAGGGATAGAGAGTTAGAAACATCGATGAGAGAGAAACATCGATCAGCTGCCTC